TGCCAAGGTATACCAGCTACTTCCATGTCATAAAGGCTTAGTCATGTCTCTTGACCAAGCAATGAGCTGGTGCCCTGACACAGGCTGACTCTGGCACTTCTACCAATTTTCCCCATCTCTCCCCTCTTCCCCTAGCAAGTTCTTGCACACCACCCATCAGACTGACATATTCAGACACCCAATATATCAGACACCTTTTGGGTCAGATCAGCATGTTGACCAAGCCTGGTATGATGACTTTTCCGGTACAATCAATGAGGACCACATCAGCATACAGCAATGTCAGGTGTGTACTCTTGCGGATCACAGCAATGCAAGTTCTGTCAATGAGAAGTGCTCCATTGGCAATGATATGTCTCTGCTCATTGACAGTGATGATCATTGTGTGTGCATAGAGTCACCTTTGATTGACCATTGATATTTCAGTAGTTCCACAGTCTCATCATAAGAGACAAGATCCGGCTATATCTTCACATATCTCTGGCCATGTTGCATCAGAGTCCTCGTGTAGAAAGCAAGTAAATTCCGATTGCCAAGCTAAGCTGCCAACTCAACACAATCAGTGCAGCAGATAATGGTCGGAGCCGAATGCGAAAGGCCGATGGACCCTCTCGGAGAAATCCGCGTCCAACGGACCTCCCCTTCGGAAGCGACCGCGTCTCAAGAAATGACAATCGGCGTTGGGGTTATCTTTCCACATTTGACGCCCCCCGCTGAATATACGAATGTATGTTTGCGGTCCCGAATAGTGGAAAGGACCGCCGAGGAGGGTAAGATCCGTTTGAGAGCTGTTCCGATTTCCAGGAACCAGTGCTGAATTGAGAAAAGAAGCGCTGTTTTCGTATAAAACTCACTCCTGAAATGGGTCATCATAACCATAAGCGCCTTTGACCAACAATCACCCACACTCACCCGTAGTGCAATAGTCATCCCAGCTTCGTCTGTCATCCCTTCTATCAAATCGATGGCTTCGCGGTTCCACCTTCCCCACCTTCGTCGCACTGTGCCAGTACCAGTCCAGGTACGCATCCTCCACACCCTTCCCGACGCCTGTCTTACCAGTGCTACGCAGGAGCCCACCGCTGAGCCTCAGGCACAGACCAATACCAAATCATCCGATGCCCATCCCCCGGCCCACACAAAGGAGAAGCATACCAAGACGTGGCAACGATATCTGATGGACATGTTGCCCGCGAACGAGGCTGCGCTCTTATGATTCGTTTCTCCTTTCTTTTTTTCATGAAATCGTCTTTGATGTAATGGGTAATACGGCATGATGTAATGATCTCGTCAGGATGAAACAATGTTGTTAGAAAGTGATTTATCAAATTAAAATAATGTCACTCCGTGACAAACAACACGATGATCAAAGTTCCACGAGTCCGTTCGAGCCTTCTAGCAACGGATAACCCGATTATCACACTCTGAAACCTCTTACCAGGGGGTGCGTGCTTGAAAACGACCGGCCCTAGCCTGATTCGCCCTCTTGCTAGGCGAAGACGGGGGAGCGGCGCAGTACGCGTACGGTCCATTGCCCTCATTCACCACGTAGCCAGCGGTGTTGCAGGTCTGCACGCAGGTAGACGGCGAGCCAGTGCATGCCGCGGTCCCACTGTACGGGGTGAAGCACTTCGTCTGTAGAAGGGTCAATAATGAAGTGAAGTGAAGGATGATGAACGTACGCCGTCAGCGCAAGGAAGGTAGCACTGAGCATCTGGGGGAGACGTAGGGTCGCCGCTGTTGGGATCACTTGTAGTGCCCTGCAGACTGGTCAATCATGCTACATTCGAAAGCTGTGGATAAAATACACTTACAGCGGGGCATACGCCGCAGGTGTAAGCGCCTGCTTCATAGAACTGCGACCATTAAGCGTTGGTCCCTCCGATTCTGGGACAAACGACCTACCCCAGCGTAACATTCACCTGCGAGCATGTTATTACGACTCAAGGCTGTGGAGAGCGGGGAATGACGTACCGTACATACACCCACCCTCTCCATTGGGGCCAATATCAACACAGTTGCCATCACCACGCGTACAATCGGCACTAGTCTGTCAATTCCAGTTTCAAATAAAAGACTTCGTTGTAGAGGTGTATACCTACCCTGCATACTTGGCCCAGCACTCCCTGGAAAGAAAGAGAGAGCACCAGCACAGAAACGACAGGATAAATCATGGTTGGTGATAATGTCGAAGGGCGAGACATGTGGACGGTGCCTCGTCTCACACCGACGTATTTATACCTTGCCAACTCGTGCCCATCAGAAAGAGAAATACACAGTCAGGGAAGAGCAGCTCCATTCCGGTCCAGCCGGTGGCACGCTGAGGCATCGATCTTGGTCGGCTGCTGAAGGAGGTTGCTCATTCAAACAGACTGACGCCGGAGCCGAATGTTCCCCCGAGAACTGATTCTCCTCCTTCCGCTCACATCAACACGTCCACATCCATCGAAAGTTACATATATTTTGCCCTTGCTGCTTTGACAAACCTTTTCTGTATTGCTCATACAACGGATTTAAACCCCTCAAGGCAGCATCCAGTTGCTATCGATAAAATCGACGGTAAGTCAGCCAGCTTTTGTTCGAAGATCTTCACCTTACAGTGTGGCAGGTCATGCCTCTTGTTCACGACAAGCCAATTGATTACGAAATGGAAGATATAGCGTGCATTGAAGCGGGTAAGTCTCATTTCTCCCACTTACTTATCCTTCAGCCACTGACGAGAGCACGATATGTTACAGTCCCTTCGCCACCTTCTCCTCCCGAATCTCCACAACCTGGCCTGCCTGACACCCTTTCCGATGCACCTGTTTGTGATATGGCAAGAGCAGCTCTGGCTGATGACCTCATCAATGACGTTGGGAGTGACAAGCAGACCACTCTCAATGTTGCTCCTGAACTGGATCTTGGCAGGAAATCTGCCTATCACGGCCCCAAAGGCATCCGCACAAGGAAGTACACCGGATCAGCCATCATTCCCGCACAAACCCACATTTCCTCTGCTTATCACGGTCCCAACGGCATTCGATCGACCCAATATACCGGACCTTACATGGATGTCAGTGGCAACATTCTGCCTTGTGATGTTGCCCCTGCTATGACGGCACAAGACTACATCAGTGTCATCACCACCGAAACCGATGAGGTTGTACACAGCATGCATGCAGCGCGCAGAGAACTCAACCGCCGGCGTGTGGCTGCCTTCAAGAACTGGTTCTTCCGGCCCTCTAGAACAAACACTGGTCAACTCTTGTCGCCTCCTCCCGATGGCAACAACGCAGGGCAGTCTGATGTGACGCAGTCAGCTGCAGATGCCATGGTCATGCCTGGAGGCTTCACACCTGCGTCTGGCTGTTGAAGGGCGGGCCTTTGCCTCACCCAACGGCCGCCCCATCGGACACTTCCTAGTTTTCTTCCACCCCCAACTACTACTGGTGCGGGTACGTTTCCGTGCAAGAGACGGCGACAGCTTGTCGGCAGGACAGTTCCCACACTTCGGAGCAACCTTGTGCATGGAAACGGGGCGATGCTGGTCTAGTCCTCAAAGGCCGATGAGCACGGCAAGAAGAGACGGTTGGAAGCAACAGAAGCTCACAGGATGTTGGACCCTGGAACGTGCAATACAGGACATGGACGCCAGAGGAGTGATGTTAAGTCACCGGTGAAATGTGCAAGAAGAATGTAGGCATATATGCGATTTGTCGACCCGTTCATGCGCCGACAGTTGGAGGACCGAATGTTGGTGTGGTCCAGGAGTGCGATAGCCGTTCGCTTCGGAATAAAGACTGTTCATTCAATGGAATCTCGCCAGGTGCCACGGAGCTGCACATGATGCAGTAGCGTGGAGACCGCAGCCAGGCCTGTGCAAGCCGAAAATGACGGTCAGAATTGGCACAATGAATACAATGCATTGATGTGGGTCATACATTGTAGTAAATCAGGCCCCCGAATCAACCGGCATCGTACTCTCTCCAGGGTCATGCGTCCCAGCATTCGCCTTCTTCCATCCCGGAGGTCTCTGGAACCCCGCCTTCGCTCCTCCTCTTCCGAATCGGATGGTTCGTGGAACGAGAGAGACGGAGGACAAGACTGAGGTAAGGTCGTCCATTGAGGAATCCATCTTGGAAGGGGTGTTGTCTGACACGGACTTCTGGATGAGCGGTTTTCTGCCAGACGATGCTGGGCCAGATGGCTTCAATGTATGCTGCAAAGGAGGTGACCTGGGTTGAGGAAATGACCATCCTAGCGGCTGTGAGTCACCAGTTGCACCAGCGCCAGAGTTAGTCATGGTAGACTCCCTCGCGTTACTATCAGCTGATAGGAAACTGAGTCCCAGGCCGTTTTTCGATTGCTGGAGACTTGTGTCATTCGGTGCACCACCGTGTGAAAGAGTTGAAGTTATAGGAGTAGGAGGCGGCTCTAACTCTATGCCTGCCAGCTCTTGGCCTTCCACTCCATCCATCTGCGGCAGCCGTGGTTTCCACTCCGGTCTAACCAAGCTCACGCCTTCACCCCACTTCTGTAAGAGACCGCCAATACCCTTGTTTGTAATTGCGAAGAAGTATTCTTTGGGGTAGTGGTGGGCGTCTATTAGGTGGAGCCGGCGCTTGGCAGGAATGAGGAAGGTTCGGGGGCAGGTGGGGATGAAACAGGCAAACTGTGAACTGTTGTGAGCTAGGAATCCTCTTATACACAGAAATGGATTAGGAACTTACCGTTTTCTCCCCTCGTTCCTTACGGATCGCGAAAATCGGGTCATGACATTCTGCAAAGTGCTTTACCAACGCTGAACAGTCAGCATCCACGTTCCTACAGAAACGGTGATGGAGATGCACGCACCAGTTCCAATAGCCTGTCATCCGGAAACACAGCTAGGCATTTTCGTTCCTGGCATACATGGGTGTGATATGTTCGATAGTGTCGCTCGAGGGCCTGTGCGTCTTCGAGGACAGCTGGATGACGGTGGCAGGTTGGGGGAAGAGTGCAGGTAAGAGCGGCGCTGGTGCCGGTGCCAGTGCTGGTGGATGGCTCGGGTCTTTGTGACCGCCTGATTTTGGGAGGAGGGGAAGGGGAAGGGGACGAAGGACGCTTGGGCATCGTGGATGCTGGTGGTACACGACGATGTTTACAGATGACGCGAACATCTCTCAGGTCTGAACCCTGGCGTCGGAACCCTAACCCTAACCTGACTAAAATTAAACCTGAACCCAGAATGGTGTCTGAAAAACCGAAGTGGTGAAAGCTCTGCTTAATACATGATGGCGCTAATGACGGCATAGCACCGAAATACTCTAATAACAAAGTCACTGAACAGGTACATATGGCCAAGCCTGGAAGGTGTCCATAATGGTATAAGAGATACCCCAGCCTGCCTTCTGTCCGAAACGGGCACCATCACCCATCGCCACGTTCTCACCGAAAATATTGTTCGCCGACATACCTATAATGACACTGTGACCCTCGGTAGTTCCTCGTATTCTTCTTCCTTATCATTGGAAAGACCCCGCTCGGGATGCAAACACAGCCAAGTAAGCTTTACGTAGTCGATGCAATTTAGACTGTACCGGAGGCTCGAACATGTCCATTTCCAGGATCATGCTTAAAATCGGCCTTCTTCCGGGATCGCGGTCCCAACAAGCCAACATAAATTCCCAAAGCTGAGAATTGAGGCCCTTTGCGGTAGCATCAGGTCCTGGATGGGTCGGTCTGAGACCATTGGGGACTTCTCGGAGAACAAAGAGCTCGGGAGAATCGTAAAACGGCACAGGACCAGTAAAAACCTAGGGATAGTTAGAATTTTAGATATACTTGATTGAGGAATAAGTCGAACCTCAAACAATGTCATACCAAGCGCATATACGTCCGCGGCTCGGCTGTAGGATGTTCTTGTGGACAACCCATAGGACGTGGGATCAAGACGTTCTTGCGCCATCCAGCGCAAGGCGCCGAAGCCGAAGCTAGTCGTCGTATCTCCCACATTCAACAGATCCTCAGGAAGCCTTGAAAGGCCAAAGTCCGTCAAGAGGGGAGTGCCCCGACCGTCGACTAACACGTTGCTCTGATGAAATGTCACTTGACTGAACGGGTTGGGAAGTGTTCAAGCATGATCGCACATACCCCTTTAATATCTCCGTGAATCACGTCCTGTGAATGAAGGTACTTCACTCCACGAATGACGCCGCGTGCCTTGGGGTAACCCGTCAGCTCTGAATGACGAGGGCGTACTCTGTCACCCTACCAATTTCAAGTGATCTGGATCTGGACAATTCTTCAAGTACATTGTCAGATCTCCATTTTCGATCCATGGGAGTATCAAGGAAATACCACGGCGCTCAGCATCGACGGATACACCGTACAAGGGGAGAACATTCGGGTGTGCTAAGCCGAACCAAACATTTGCTTCTCTTACAATATACTGCACGAGCATGGGTAAAGGTGGTCTTCGCTAAGGGAGATTCTTCATACACACCTTGGTCAATTGTGCTGTTGCGTCGCGATCTCTGTTCATGCTAAATGCCTTCATGGCAACGAGCTTCACAACCGCCGATCCTTTATACACAAGGGCAAATCCGCCTTTTCCTATGTGCTCGTTATCCAGTCGCATTGCTTGAATCACAGGTGCCTTGATAGCTCCAACCAGATCGACAAACCATGGATCACTGTTCTCTGACCTTGGAGTTCCCAGTGGTGAGAGGGACGTCTCGACAAGACTGGCTTTGCTTCCCACAACTCGGATCAGTGGCTTCTTTTCTGGAGATGTCTGCGTCCCAGACAGTTGCTGATTGTGAGAGGTGTCCGAAATCTTGGTGTTGGGGATGTCAAATCCAGGAATCAAAGGCAACTGACACATTGCATTGCCAAATTCCTGGGTTATCCCAGTGTTTTCCGGCGGTGCGTGCCATTCGGATATTCTGCCCGGTGCTGTCATTAATCCGTCTGAAGTGCCCTCTCGGGAACGAGCATCAAGAACATCCGGTCGCTCGCTGGTTGGCTGTGATAGTGCGCGTCGACGAAACGGCTTCCATAAACTCCAGGATGAGATTTTCTTTGGTGACACCCTTATTGTTCGTTGAACAGATGTGTCTTGTAATGATCTTAGCTCAAGAGCTCCAATGAAAAAGCATGCATAGCGCACCGCTTACGGCCTCTTCAGGATCTGATGGGCTCAGAGAAGCCTCCTGTAAGCTGGACGTCGCCAGCCCATATTTTGCATTTGACAGCCAGTTGTCCACATCATTAAGTTCCTCCACGAGCACGGGTCGTTGATCTGGTTCCTCGACCCAACATTTCTGAATGAACGCCCATAGCTCGGAAGTTAAGCCAATCGAAACCGCCTGTTTACCCGGATGAGAGGGCCTTTTCCCTGCAATGATGGCTCTTCGAATATTCAGGTTAGTCTCTTCGTCGTGATACGGTAGTCTCAAGGCAAACATCTGAATAATTTGAGTCATCCTCGAAACATGGCGGTCTCATCTTACACACCTCCCAGAGGGTCATGCCAAGGGAATGGATATCGCTCGCGAACGTGCGACAGGAAACTTCGGTCAAACCAAATTTGGAAGGTTGAATTCGTTCCGGGGGCATCCATCGAACAGAGCCCGCAAACATCGTTGAGGTAGTTTGCTCAGGCAGAACATCATCAACAACGACAGACAGGCCAAAATTCGCCAGCTGGGGTTGACCATCGCAGGCGACAAGAATGTTGTCCTGTTGTGAACATGAGAGAAGAATGGACACAATCACACTCCGACGTACTGCCCTGAGATCACCGTGCACGATACCATTATCATGCAGATAGGCAACTCCGTAGGTGACACCCATGGCCTGTCATGTGTCGATGAATTAGAGCAGAGTTGAGTGCAGAACTGCGACTTGCCAGGGGGAATCGACTAATACTCGGATTGTTTTTGAGATACCGCTTGACGTCCCCGTTTTCCATCAATGGAGACACTAGCCAGAGGTTGCTGCCGTCATGTTGGATTAGGACACCAAGAAGAGGCAGCACATTCTTATCATGAAGTCTAGCCCATATGGACACTTCTCGCACGACAACCTGAGGGGGTTCATCTGTCAGCATGCGGCAAGTGGTTATTGGCCGGACTGACTTTCTGTAACACATGGATGTCTTTGCCAGATACATGCATACGACGGACCTTCAATGCGACGGGCTGATTATTGGGGAGCATAGTACCACGGGATACGTCGGTAAAAGCGTGACGGGAGAGAGGAAATTCGTCCATCCTGGAGGCCATAACAACAGGTACAGAAAGATCCCTTAGGAGCTTGCCAAGGTCGGTTTGAATGGCGGATTCGGGCTCCGAGGTGAGCGGTACTGCAGCGGTCGTTTGAAATACTGTAGGCCCATCTATTCTCTGCTGGCTTAATGGGGGCGGAGGCGGCAGAATATGGTCTCCGGATGATCTTCGCCATTGCCCCGAAAGCGAAAAGTCAAAAGAGCTCCAATGCCTAGATGTGGGTACAGAAGGACTCGCAAGATCATTGCTCGATTTTCCGCGCTATAAAAAGTTAACTCCCGCATTGCAGTGAGGACGCGATTTCGTAGAAGAGGGAAGATGCGGCGCAACTATAAACCAAGTTAGCGAACCTTGAAAACAGTTATCCAAGTCACGCACATTAGGCGCCGATGTCCGTGGCTCAAGCGTCCTCAAGACGTTTGGGTAATCAGCTGAATGGCTTGTGCGCTAATGGACGGAGTAAGACATGGTATACATTACGAATGCATGTAGCTCACCGGTGTGGGCCTGGAACCGTCCATAATGATTGTACAATAAGATATGACCAGGGAGAGATACAGGCAAGACTTTGTGCCTCCATGGTAATTGGAAGTGAAATAGTATACATAGCCGCGTATTCCTCCTTTCTAGACCCTATCGGTATTACCCGATCACCAAAGCTGTGAGCCAGGCCCAAACGAGGGCTATGGAGCTTGACAGCGCCTGTAACCATCAGTAGACACTAAAGTTGGGGGATATTAACCGCATTGCACAGGATTGATGAAAACCAGGGACGCAGATACCTCCGTCTGGGATTATTCAGAAGTGGTGACAGAGGATATAGCGTTCATCGGATTCTGACGACAGCACCGAGGTCTGATAAACACAGTCAGCTACTCATCGCCCAAGTGTTTGAGCACCGGACATCATACCACAGAAAACCCTCCTCTCGAACATGCAGACCTACGTCATTGCCGGCATCTTTGAACTTGTCTGGCCTCTTGCCAAAGAAAACATGTCTTAGACAATCACAATATCTCAGTCTTAAAGGCAGAAGTATCCCGATAGGATACGGTTGCACAACGTATGCAGTCCAGCTTGGCGGAGCTCAGCGTTGAGGGTTTTATGGCATGAGATGCAAAGCAAGCAGATATCAACGCCCCAGTCAGATAGCCTCCAGATTTGCAGAACGCCGACTATCTTCCAGCTTGTGCACAGAAGTCCTCCCTCTATGTCCCAGACTAAAGGCACAGGTGAAAGCAACACGGAGGAAAGAGATGACAAGGCCGATCATCGTGCAGAAGGTTGCTATGTCATGTCACCTAGGCTTCCGAACAGGGGGGTATACGACGAGTCTTGTTTGACCTCTGACTTGTTACGAAATAGCTCAGGTTGGGTCAGGTGAGCCACAGACACATGTGAAGTGAGCCATGATCTACTGCGAAGAACGCTGCTCTACGGGCAGCAAGAGTACGGTCGCATTCCCAAAACAGCCGCCAATATGATCCGACGGCCCTGGGAAATAGCATGGAATGCCAAGCCAGAACATAGTCAGTGCAGAATCAGATCTTGATCCAAACCAGAGCCGCTGCTGGAGGGCGCTGGGCATCAACACTCCTAGAGTCCGTGCCAATGAGAGAAGGTCCAGAGAAGGTCCAGAGAAGGTCCAGAGCACGATTCTACAACAGCGGAAGGCGCTTTAGTCGAGACTGCAGGAGTTTTGTAGATGTCTCCTTTTTGAACAGCATGAAGTGATGATTTGGAAGGTATGCATATGAGATTGTTCGTCTCAGGTACCTGATGCATGTGATCTGCTGGAATGAAGTGATGAAGATGGTGGATGATCTACCGAATCCGTGTCGTTCTTGACATCGGCCTTTCGGGGCAAGAGAAACCGGTCCCTCATGGGTCCATCGGCTCGAGGGAATTTAAGGAGATAATCAACGGGAACATCAGTACCTTTCTTGCAAATTTTAGAAGGACGGGGTGGGGAAGCCGATCGGCAGGGCAGGCACGGAAGGGGGAAGAACGAACAAATCATATCTTATCTCGGGAGCTGATGCATGTGTTTACTCAGCCACCCCGCGGAACGAGCGCCCGAGATGTTGCTTCCGTTGCCCGTTACATGTGCACCGCTCTGGCGACGATTTATTAGCACAATCACCTCATTCCCTTTCCCCCCGAGTGGGTGATTAATCCCTCTCCTTGAGACGTGGCTCCTTTTACATCCTTTCACTCTTGACGGTACAGTCTCAGGAGTATTTCGCTGGAACGAAAGAGAACACGCTGTGTTTGGCTGACTGGCTCGCCACACAGCACCCTTCGACGCGCACGGAACAGAACCCCTCTATCAGCCCACCCACGCCATCAACTCGTTTCTCGTTCCTTCCCCGCATCATTCCGTCTTCCATACACCTCCTATATCGGGTCTATTGGCCGATCCAGTCAGTGTCACTTGAATATCCGCTACCTCCGACTGCTCGTTACGCTAGCCGACATAGGATATATTCCAACATGGCTGTATTAGCGAATCTTGTCACTTCCCTCTTCCCAGGATCGCGAGACACGTCCCTGCGCACACCCAGCACACCGATGAAGGGACTTCCGCCAACGCCCGCGCCTGGGCAACCTAACCCGTTGGACGAGATGGACTACGGCAAGTGTGAGCTTAAAGTCGAGGGCATGACTTGTGGTGCCTGTGTGGAGAGCATCGAGAGTATGATGAGGAGGCAGGATGGGATACACAGTATTACCGTCGCTCTGCTTGCCGAGAGAGCCGTGGTGGAATATGACCCAGATAAGTGGGATGTTGACAAGATTGTCAATGTACGTGCTTCACTAACACTGGTTGTGTCATGACTAACTCTCCTGCAGGAAATCTCCGACATTGGTTTTGATGCTACTTGGATCCCTCCAGTCGCCTCCGACACGATCACCCTCCGCATTTACGGGATGACCTGCTCCTCCTGCACATCAACAGTCGAACGAGAACTGCTTGCCCTTCCCGGCGTATCCAGCTGCTCCGTCTCCCTAGCAACCGAGACGTGCACAGTGGTGTTCGATCGGACCCTGCTCGGCCCGCGCAACCTCGTCGAACGGGTTGAAGAACTCGGGTTCGATACAATCCTAAGCGTGGAGGACGATGCAACACAAATACGGTCTTTGACGCGTACGAAGGAGATCCAGGAATGGCGCGAACGGTTCTGGCGCAGTTTCTACTTTGCAATCCCTGTTTTCCTCCTAAGCATGGTTTGCCCGATGCTGCCGATTTTTGAACTGGTCGTCAACTATCAACTCCTGCGTGGTATTTTCCTCGGCGATGTCATATGTCTTGTCCTCACTATTCCCGTACAATGCTTCCTTGCTCAACGATTTTATCGCAATGCATGGAAGGCGGTCCGCCACGGCAGTGCTACAATGGACGTGCTCGTTGTGCTAGGCACGAGTGCAGCGTTCATCTATTCTGTGCTGGCGATGCTTGCCGCGATGTTCAGCACCACCGCGGGATATCACCCAGCGGTATTTTTCGACACCTCCAGTATGCTTATTACATTTGTTTCCCTTGGTCGATATCTCGAGAACATGGCTAAGGGCAAGACATCGGCCGCCCTAACCGATCTCATGGCACTCGCTCCTAGCATGGCAACGATCTACACTGACGCACCTGCATGTACTCAGGAAAAGCGCATAGCAACCGAACTCGTTCAAGTTGGGGACACCGTCAAGCTCGTTCCTGGTGATAAGGTGCCTGCAGACGGGACAGTCGTGCGCGGGACGAGCAGCGTAGATGAGAGCGCTGTGACTGGCGAACCCGTGCCCGTCCACAAGCAAACGGGTGACTCCGTCATTGGTGGAACGGTCAACGGTCTCGGCACGTTCGACATGGTCGTAACTCGGGCTGGCAAGGACACGGCGCTGAGCCAGATCGTTAAACTCGTCGAGGAAGCGCAGACGAACAAGGCGCCTATCCAAGCATTCGCGGACCGCGTAGCGGGATACTTTGTACCAACCGTCATCACCCTCGCTGTGATCACCTTCTCAGCATGGATGATCGTTTCCCATATTGTCGATATGGCCGAGCTCCCGCACGTGTTCCGCATGCCTGGTGCATCGCGCCTCGCAGTTTGTCTCAAGCTTTGCATCTCCGTCGTTGTTGTCGCCTGCCCTTGTGCACTCGGCCTGAGCACACCGACGGCAATCATGGTCGGCACCGGGGTAGGCGCCCAGAACGGCATCTTGATCAAGGGCGGCGGGCCGCTTGAGGCGAGCCGCCACATTCGCAGGATCGTCTTCGACAAGACGGGCACGATTACTCAAGGCAAGCTCAGCGTCGCTAACCTGTGCTGGGCCAGCGCTGCGGACGAATTGGTGCCGAGCGAGAAAACTGAGGTGCTTCAGCCTAGCATTGCTAGTCTGGAAGCGATGAGCGCAGATGGACTAACAAGCAAGGCGATCGTGCTTGGGATCGTTGGTGCAGCTGAGACGAGGTCGGAGCATCCGCTAGCTCGTGCGGTAGCGGCATATGCGAAGCAAGTGCTAATCCAAGCCGGCATCTACGGGCCGGATATTCATCTTGAATCCTTTGAAGGCGTCCCTGGGGAAGGTATTCGAGCTCGGGTTACCGTGGAAGACCATTTTGTCGGTGCAAAGGCTGGATCCAGTGGCAAGCATGGCTTGACCATTCACATTGGGAGCTCTGCTTTCGTCAGCAAGGACATTGCTTTCGTGCCCAATGCGCTCAGTGCCTTCGAGGAGTCTGAATCATTCCTTGGAAGAACAGTTATATTCGTTTCGCTGGCACAAGATCGTGGAACCGCGCACGTAGCGCTCGCCTTCTCCCTCTCGGATGAGCCAAAACCATCGGCAGCGCCTGCAATTCGAGCTCTGCAAGCAATGGGTATCGAAGTGAACATGATGACTGGCGACTCCGACACAACGGCAAAGGCTCTCGCAAAAGAGATTGGCATCCCACCGGAGGGCGTGTGGTCACGGGTCAGCCCTAAGGGCAAGGCAAAGTTGATCGCAGAACTGATGGAGAAGGACCGCGGAGGTGTGGCTATGGTAAGAATATTCTATTGCTCGTTCACTGCCTCTTACTAACTGAGAATCAGGTTGGTGATGGTATCAACGATTCACCCGCTCTGGTTGCTGCTTCTGTTGGCATCGCCCTTTCCTCAGGGACATCAGTAGCGATTGAAGCAGCAGACATCGTACTGATGCGGTCCGATTTGCTCGACGTTGTTGCGGCCCTCCATCTATCCCGTTCAATTTTCTCCGTCATCCGTCGCAACCTTGTCTGGGCCTGCATATACAATGTTCTCGGTATCCCGCTTGCAATGGGCATCTTCCTACCTTGGGGTATCCATCTTCACCCCATGATGGCTGGTGCCGCAATGGCATTCTCGTCTGTGTCTGTTGTCACCAGTTCTCTATCCCTTCGGTTATGGCGCAGACCAGCAAGCAGCGTCATGCCAGGCGAACCGACACCCAAAGAAGGTTGGAAAGAGGATGCACGGATAGTTATGAGCTCTGCTTGGGATGCGATCGAAGGCGGTGTACGCACCAGAGTAAGGAGAGGTTATCAACCCTTACCAATTGAGCTTGGTCCCACGCCCACAACGGCGAACACGTTGAACACATTCGCTTAGATCTATTTCGATATACCTATCTTTGGATTCCGTGATCCATTGTGTATTATTATATCACATAGTTTCTCAATTCAATTCATCATTGTGATAGTATTTGTTCGTCATCAGTTATCGACCCATGAGTTCCATTACGCCTCGGAGATGTTACACTGGTGTGGAGGACCCTCGAATTACGGCGCCTCTTTCAACCGTACCAAGCAAGAGCAACCTCAGCCAACGCTTTCGTTTTCTGGACTCTTGTCACTAGTCATTGAGCGTATCCCTTTGACTTCGTCTCTTCGAGATGGGACACCACATTACTGTTGCTACGTGAGTGTTGTTCATGGATGTCACGAACAATTACTAACCTACATGCAGTTGGTAGGCAGCGTTGCGGCACAGACGGTCGCGTGCTGACTCCAGGGGTAGCTCGTTGAATCAGTGGGCTTTAGACTTTCAGGTATGTTCACCAACCTCCAAATTGGCTTCTTGATAATAATGTGGGTCTGTGAAGGGTAACTACGAGCGCATACTTGCTAGTATCGTCCTCGCCAAGGAGAAGGGTGCCACGTTGCGTGTAGGGCCAGAGCTAGAGATTCCGTACGTGGTGCTGTCCATTTTGTGGACCACTTTCTTATCAGTGGACAGAGGGTACGGATGTTTAGACCACTTTCTTGAGGGTTCGCCGATAGTTTTCCAACGAGATTCGAGGCTGATCGCTCCATGCAGGGGATACCGTTCTGCATTCGTGGGAGATTCTTGCCAAGTTGCTGACCTCCGATGTCACTCAAGATATCCTATGCGACATCGGCATGCCCGTGGTGCACAAAAATGTGAACTACAATTGCCGGGTAATCATCTATAATCAGAAAGTGCTCCTCATCCGGCCCAAGATGTGGCTCGCAAATGATGGGAACTATCGCGAGTTGAGATACTTCACCCCGTGGAAGAAGTTTCGGCAGACGGAAGAGTTTTGGTTACCTAGGATGATCAAGCATATTACTAAACAGGTGATCTTCGAAATTGATGTTTGTTATCATATACTCATGCCATCCGCAGACCACTGTTCCCTTCGGCGATGCGGTTATCAGCACTTGGGATACTTGCGTCGGGGTCGAGCTATGCGAGGAGCTTTTCACGCCCTCAAGGTGCGTTCAGTCTAGATATCCTTAATCATTGCCGACATTGTTGTCAGCCCGCACATTGATATGGGCTTGGATGGCGTCGAGATCTTCACAAACTCTTCGGGTTCACACCACGAGTTGCGGAAGTTGAACACTCGCATTGATCTCATCATGGAAGCCACCGAAAAACTCGGAGGCATCTACCTGTATGCCAATCAGCAAGGGTGTGACGGCGACCGGCTTTATTATGACGGCTGCGCGATGATCGCCGTGAATGGGAAAGTTGTGGCACAAGGCAGTCAGTTCAGCTTGAATGATGTTGAGGTCGTCACCGCTACGGTTGATATCGAGGATGTACGGGCGTATAGGAAGAGGAGCAGTAGGAGCCAACAGGCAGCTGAAAGCCCGAAGTATGAGAGGATTGAGGTTCCCACGGCCCTCGCTACAGACGACCTCAGCATTTATGGCCTTCTCGGACCAGAAAGGCCCTTTGAGGTACGATATCACGTCCCTGAAGAGGAGATCGCGTCAGTATCCGTCTGATTGAAGCTGCTCGAAACTGACACGATACAGATTGGGTCCGGCTTGTTGGCTATGGGACTATCTTCGTCGCTCCCGAACGCAAGGGTATTTTGTACCCCTCAGTGGCGGTATTGACAGCTGCGCAACCTCCGTCATCGTGTACAGTATGTGCCGTCTCGTGGCTCAATCAGCTGCAAAAGGCGACAAGCAAGTGATTGCCGATGCACGGCGCATCGCTGGCGAGCCCGAAGATTCTAGCTACATACCCTCGGATCCCAGAGAATTCTGCAAGCGCATCTTCCACACTTGCTACATGGGCACCGAGAACTCGAGCATCGAGACAAGGAAGCGAGCGAAAGACCTCTCAGAGGCAATTGGAAGCTATCATGTCGATCTGAATATGGACATGGTTGTCAGTGCTGTCCGTAACCTGTTTGGGCTCGTCACGGGCATCACACCACAATTCAAGGTGCACGGCGGATCAAATGCGGAGAATTTGGCTCTGCAAAATATCCAAGCTCGCTTGCGAATGGTTCTGGCGTACATGTTTGCCCAACTTTTACCGTTCGTTCGAGGACGCTCTGGCGGGCTCCTAGTGCTGGGAAGCGCCAATGTTGATGAGAGGTGGGTTCAGGCGTGGAGTAGTATCATTGTGTCGCTGATATCGTGGTAGTTTGCGTGGCTATCTAACGAAATACGACTGCTCCTCGGCAGACATCAATCCCATCGGAGCGATCAGTAAGACCGATTTGAAGAGGTTCATCGGATGGGCTCAGCACGCGTTCGAACTACCGATCCTGGGGAGCTTCTTAGACGCCGTGCCCACTGCAGAACTCGAACCGATCACGGAGACATATGTGCAGTCAGACGAGGCCGATATGGGTATGACGTACGACGAGCTCTCGGTATTCGGTCGCTTGCGCAAAGTTGAGCACTTGGGCCCGTACGGCGTCTACATGAAGCTGGTTCGCGAATGGGGAGATCATCTGTCCCCGACGAGAATTGCGGAAAAGGTCAAGCTCTTCTTCTTTGAATATGCGAGGAACCGTCACAAGATGACTACGTTGACGCCTTCTTATCACGCGGTGCGTTCACGATCTGACCGCGTTCGTCCAATTCCGCTGATATTGTTACAGGAGTCTTATAGTCCGGACGACAACCGGTTTGACCTCCGTCCTTTCTTGTACCCGTCACGCTTCCCATTCCAATTTTCAAAGATTGACGAGATCGCCGCTCGGCTTCCCGATCGTTCCGTCAACCCCGGTCCAGAGAAGGCGAAAGTAGAGTAATTGTATGGTTTAGGTACATTGTATAAGTACATAATCGCTACACGAAAGCGTCCAAATGAGATGAGTTAAACCGTCTACTATACCCTCAAGTTTGCAACCACGTTCTGAATGTTGGCGAATGCACTCTGACCGGTTATACGGTTCATGATCGTCGGCTCTGCCGCTACGGGGAGTAAGAAAATGCACGGCACAACGTTAAACAAACTCACGTTCGCCAAGCTTCTCTTCCTTCACTTTCCGCTTGATGCTCTCCATAACCTCACTCACGTCCGACCGCGTAAGATCGTCCCTCGCCCTCATGATCGCCTCCACAAATCCTAAATTCGGCCCATGCTTCTTAGCAAAGTTCCAAAAATCGAGGAAGACGAGTTTCTTCGAAGCGGTGAGCATGGCAAGAATGAGCTCGATGATTTCAAAGTTCGTCTCAAGTTCCTTGGGCTGCTTGAACACGCTAAACAGACTGAACACTTCGCTTATATCGTCCCGTATCCGATCTGCAGCCATAGGCATCTGGAGCTTGGAGCACCTCCGCAGAGCAGTAAGGTACGTCATGAGGAAGGTATCCAGGAGGTCATCAACAAGTAGGTCGAGGATGAACGGGTTCAGGTAAGGCTGGTAATCGTTCATGTAGTCCCGCATCGTCTCCACAATCTGGGTCATCACACCACCGTACCAGGTGGTAGTGAACAGCGCCTTCGTCGCGGGTCGGAGATCATGCATTATCAGATCGATGATCATTTGCGTAGATTTCTTCGCTACGTCCAGGTAGCCATCCATGGCTTCGTTCAACCGGTCGGAGATGATGACTTTATATTTCTCGCTCACGAGCGGTTCCAGGCGAGCGGAAAGGGCCTCGGCAAAGTCCGCGCACTTGATCTGGTCATTGGCCAGTGCGATGATGTACTCCCCCAATCCGGGCGGTACCTCATCAGGCTTATCGGTCTGTTTCTTAAACTCGAGATCGACAAGCTTGACCCACTGTTCCTGCGTGCGGCGCATAACCCTGCTACTCTCGCCCACGACGCTGGCCAGTACGCTCCCCTGGCCAGAATCGGCAGCGAGGTCAGCCTGCTGGTTCACCATCTGGAACATGATGACGGCGCCCTGCATTCCGTATAGGCCGTCGCTGTCGACTTCTGGGGGCTGTTCGCGCGTTGAGAAATCGCGGATCTCTGTACGCATGAGGTTGTTGCTCCATTCGTCCATCTTCCCGATGATCAGCTTGAGGTAGTCGTCGATCAGTCCTTGCTCTTTGCCATCCAGTAAAGGGGGGGTGATGAGCTCCTGAGGAATACTGAGCTCTTTCATGTTCGTTTTGTAGTCTTTGACCCAGGCGTGCAGTTGCAAGAGGACGGATGCTTCTGGGCCAGTCTCGAGGATCTCGACAAGGACGCTGTTGAGTGACTTGTGGTAGGCCTTGACATAGTAGGCGAAGATCTCGTAATCCGCCGGGAAGAGGGGTACGACATCGTCCTGAATGCGCACAAGATCCTGATACATCCACTGCAAGTTGTCAAGGAACGCTCCGGGCGCATCCCGATCCTGCATGTAGGCGGCAGTGAAGGATTCCTGGATTGATGCACTGATTTGGGTAAAAATCTTCGAGCGGTAGTTCTTGATCACGCGGGCGTTGGCTTGCATGGACTTGAACTTTGCTGCAGCGTCTATCTTTGCCATCTTCTTCACTAGTCGAATCGCTAGTGCCTGAAAGAAGAATTATGAGCATATACGCGGGAATATGGTCAGAATCGCACCTTTTCGTCTTCCCTCCCTTCCACTTCAGCGATCTTGATCAACTTGACGACCACCGCCGGCTGGCCCGCTCTGACCAAGCCCAAGACGCTCCTCGCAAGCAGCATCAAATAGTCGTCAAAAGCGTCAATAGTCCCATTCAACCTCTCAAAGTATCTCGCAAGCGTCTTGCGCGCATCGCTGTTCGCCCGCTTGGCCTGATGCAGCGTCTGGTTCCGGAAGGCCTCGAGCTGCGTGATTTGGTAGTGCATTGGTAGGAGGTGGGGCGAGGGGCCGAGCGGATCATCCCGCGCTGCCGAGAGTTGGGACTCGAGCGTGGCCAGCTTGGTGTACATCTCCGAGAGGTTGGAAACCATCTCCTCCGTGAGGGCAAAGTTTCTATGTATGACCGACATCTGTTGTTGTCAGCACCGAACCGCAAGCTGAAGAAACCCACGCACCCAGCTAATCTGTTCAAACTCGCCCGCACGTGCCCCCGGGTCCTGACACAAGAAATGCACATTGGCCATATCGTCCTTCACGGACTGGACGTTATTCCTCGTCCCCATGAGCTTTCTCAGTCCTTCTCGGGTAGCCTCGAGCTGGTCCTTGACCCCGCTTTTGAGCTTGACGTTTATACTCGCTTTTTCTTTTTCGAGCCGTTTTCGGAGCGCGGCGATCTTGAGCAGGTCGTCGGGTGATTTGAGCAGCTCGCCGATGGCGTGTGCCGCAGAGATGGGTTGGGGCGTTGGCAGGGACATGATGTCCTTCCACCACTAGCAGGAGGCAGGAGGATATTTAACTGAGAGTAAACAGAGTACAGAGTGTATGCGCAGTTCTGAGCACGGGATATCACGAAGTCGGGAATGAAGGCGAAACAATACGGTTGCTGTGTGCCGTACTTCTCCCGCAGTGCTGCTCTGACTAAGGGTGCTTCTGCATCGCCACTAAGGAAGTTATGTAAGCAGTACCCTGAACGTGACGCGTTCTTCCGAGTCGGCAGGCAATTAATTATTTGTGAGCAAGCACCGTGTACTCGTTGACCTGCTCAGTGCCTCCCTCCCGAACAAGATGACAGCTTCCCCAGACCCACCCTCCTCCTCAGCCGGCTCACCCCCCCCACACCAACAACCACCAAAAGGTCACACCCGGCTCCCCCCAGGCCTCGTCCTGGGCCCGGATGGCAAACCCTGCAGAGCCTGCAACTCCCTCTCTAGTATGCGGCTCGCTACTCGGTCGTTTGGCCAGGCTGGGGGGTCTAAGGCAGTCACAAGCGCTGGAGTAGCAGAAGGAGCAGGAGCGGCTGCTGTAGGGTCAGGAGCAGCGGGGGCATTCGGTATGCTTTCCACTCCGGCGCAAGACTGCCCTCCCGACTCTGAACAACTCGGCCGTGCAACCTGGACGTTCCTACACACCGCAGCGGCCTACTACCCCGAACATCCTTCCCCCGCTCAACAAACACAGATGTCCAACCTCCTTCACTCACTTCCCACGCTCTACCCATGTCACTACTGCGCCCTCCATCTGGGGAAAGAGATCGACCGCCGAGGGGTGGACGTGAGTGGCCGAGAAGGAGTTAGTAGGTGGTTGTGCGAGGTGCATAATGAGGTTAACCAGAGGCTCGGGAAGGTGCAGTTCGATTGTTCTAAGGTGCTGGAGAGGTGGAAGACTGGGCCTGCGGAAGGGAGCTGCGATTGACCTCTAAGGGGGGATCGATGCGCAGCACGAAACACTTGTACACTTGTACGCAATACACCTGATCTACTCAGCTTGCCTTCCTCTTCTTCCCCCCCCCCTGCGCAGCGAGCAACATTTCCCGAGTCTTCTTTCTCCCCTCGCTTTTCGCCCCTGGCCTGTCTTTCGGTCCCCAGTCCTCGTCCGGTGAGGCCTCTTCTCCGTATTTAGGAAGGAGCAGAAGGGGTTGATAACTTTCTAACGTGTTCAGTTGGTCGGGGGTAGCTAACGGGAGTTAGGTACCGCGAAAGAGATCCTGAAAGGGGGGGAGCGCACCGTGGTGGGAACAGCTATTTATACCCCTCAGCAAAGGGTGCTCAGCCTGCTCCACAAACCCGCCTTCCCAAACGACCAACTTCACCCCTCCTGCGTCTTTCCCCTCGTTCTCAGGCCAGCCTTCGTCTACCGACACCCACACCGCGTGGCCGGAGACGCGGAAGTCCAGCACTGGTTTCCCTACAGGTAGTGCTTGGACCTGTGGGTCGGGGAGGGAAGGGGAAGGGAAAGGGACGTAAAAGAGTGCCGAACAGCTGCTTTTCCTCAGTCCTTGCCTACGAGTAGGAAAGAATACGCACCCAATAAGAAAGAAGAGAACCATCCCACCCTCTTCCGTGCCCAGCGTAGAAATCTTCCCAACAGCAAAAACGATCTCCGTATCCTCAGGTCCTTGCACCTCCTCCAGGCCCTCCTTCTTCCCCTCATCCTCAACATCCCCGTCCACGCCCGTATCTTCCTCCCGCGCAAGCTTTCCCTTCTTCGACGCGTCGGCAAACGCTTTCCCCCGTTTTCGCCAGGGCTTGACACACATGTACTGCCGGGCTTGGGACTCGTATCCCAGGGTTTGGAGGAGCTGGCCGGAGGTCCAGTTCCAGACGAAGAGCTGGGGTTCGCCTCCGCCCGAAATCAGGCGTTCTGGGGCAAAAGGCGGGATATGCAACGCAGTCACATATCTTCCTCACACCGATCAGCGCAGGGCCTTCCTAAATCCAGCTGACAGGGCACGCACCTCCTGTGACCGAACAAGAACCGCTCGATGACGAACCCCTGTGGAAACCGGCTCACGCGGATGTGCTCATCCCGGTCTGCGGTGAGGATATGTTTCCTGTCGTGCGAGAGTTGGAGGGCGGTGACGATGCTGACATGACCGAGGAGGAGGGAGGTGTCCGATGGGGAGACGTCGGTGTCGTTGTCGGTATCTGAAGGGTTGGGGTTGGGGTTGGGGTCAGGCTCGGTGGATACAGGTGGGTGGATAGGGTAGTGGAATACGTCGCCGAACTTGTCTGCTACTACGAGTGTGTTCTTGTCGACGAATGCGATCGCTGTTGCGCGTTTTGGGAGTTCCCTACTGTTCTGTGAACAACGTCCTACACGAGGGGAGGGGAGACCCACCTGGAGCTGAGAATGGAAAGACTTTCTCGTTGACGTATGACAAGTTTCTTGTCATCTCCTGTTGTGGCCACATGATGGAATGAATCGTCGACTGCGAGTACACGGACCGGTAGGCCGGTGTCTTCCTGTGCAAGTACCTCACCAGACCTAAGTAATAAGCCGGGTTATTTGCTGCAAGGGAAGCGAAGGTATGACGTACTTTGTATCAAGCACATGTAACCACGGACCAGCGGCGATGACCGCATAGCTCGATCCTACAGAGATATGCGTCATTGGATAAGGTGCCATCTCAGATACATGTCAAAGTGATCCTTCCCATCCCGGATCGAAATTGTGAGGACAATTCAAGGCACGTGACTTTCATTTTCAGGGTTTGGAGAAGCACGATGAACCCGAGTGAGACGGCCATCCGAACGCCTTAAGCTTGTCTTCCCCATTGACGGTGGAACGATGCGTGTCTCTGTAGCACGAGTGCGCTTCCACCCAGCACTCGCAAGAGTACAGCATATCACCCCCCGTGCCCGGTATGCCACCACCGCCCCCACCCCTGCAGAAGACTACGACATCGTCATCGTCGGCGGTGGTCCTGCCGGTCTCGCACTAGCGGGCGCACTCGCTTCTTCCCCCGCTGTGTATGCCACTTCCAGGATCGCGCTCGTCGAAGCCGGGAGCTTGGACAAGGTGCGGGAGTGGACGATGGGAGAAGGGGAGTTCAGCAATCGCGTGAGCAGTATTACGAACGTGTCGCGCGAGTTTCTGCATGGTGCGTTGAGCATTAGGCTTGGGTTCGGATACGCTGACTATAATAGGATTCGGCGCATGGGATTATCTGGATCAGACACGTACAATGCCAGTGGAGGAGATCCAAGCCTGGGACGGTCTCTCCTCTGCAAGGATCACGTTCAACACGTCAGACATCCCTTCCTCCTCTCCTGCCCGATCACCCCACCTCCGCCCAAGTCAGATTGCAACCATGGTCGAGAACCTTAATATCCAGCGCGCCCTTCTCCGGACACTGGAGGACAAACCGGATGTGAACCTGCTGGATAACGTCAAGGTTCTCTCGATCACACGGAACTCGGCGGACGAAACGGATGATTACCCGCACCTGACCCTCTCAGATGGGCGCACACTCCGCGCTCGACTGCTCATCGGCGCAGACGGTCCTTCCTCCCCTGTGCGTGCATATACCCAGATCTCCTCTTATGGCTGGGCATACCCAACGCACGCAGTCGTTGGCACCCTCTTTCACCGCCCGCACCCTCTAGGCCTGCCCAACGCCACCGCCTTCCAGCGATTCCTCCCCACAGGTCCAATCGCTTTCCTCCCTCTCTCACCAACCGCCGCCTCCCTCGTCTGGAGCACCCGGCCAGAGCTCGCCGCCGCTATGAAACAACTCGACTCCGCCGCCCTAGCAAGATACGTAAACGCTGCCTTCCGCCTCCCCTGGCTCTCGCTAAACTACCTCAACACCGTCCTGCTCGAATCGTACGCCTCCGGTACGCCTCTCACCGCTTCCCAGGCAGAAGAGGAAATCTCGTTCCGCCAGCAAGCGCACTCGATCGACGCCTCCTCCGCCCTCTCCTCACTCCAGACAACCATCGGCGTCCCAGCAGAAGGATCAGACTCCTTCCCTCCGCTCATCCATTCCCTCCAAAGGGGGACAATCGCCTCCTTCCCCCTCCGGCTAACGCACGCCGATTCCTACCTCGGCTCTTCCTCCCAAGGCAGAGGCCGCACAGCCCTAGTAGGGGATGCGGCGCACACGTGCCACCCGCTGGCTGGGCAAGGGCTCAACATGGGGCTCGCAGACGTGTGCGAGCTCGTACGCTGCCTAGACGCTGGAGCGCAGCACGGTTCCGACCTTGGGACACAGGTCGTCCTCCAGCCTTATGCGCGCAATAGGTACGCAGCGAATCACAGCATGCTGAGCGTTACGGACAAACTGCACAAGCTGTATGCGCTCCAGAGCTGGCCGGCGGTCTGGGCGCGCAGTACAGGCCTTGAAGTCGTCAACGAGCTCCTCGCTCTTAAGGGTGCGATCATGCTCGGTGGTGGGGCAGCGAGGGAGGAGCCAAACGCGGGGAAAGCGGCTATGCGGTTCGCTGCTGATGCTGTTGAGGTCGGAGCGAGCACGCTGTATGGTGCTAAGGCGTTACTTAGCGGTTTAGGGTCAATCGCGGGCACGGTAGTGGGTAAAGCGGTAGGAAGTCTGATTACGAACGCTGGGAAACAGTAGCCTTCTACGGGGCAGAACGGCAAAAGTATATATGCGAAGAGGAATAAAAGCACTATTCTACGATAGTGGGCTGCGGAAAGTAGAGAAGGACGGAGAGAGATACTGGGTATGGTAGAACACATGTACACTGTCCGGGTCGCAAACCAGGGGTATAGAACTACATATACAGGAGCGCGCTGCGCTCACCCGATAAGAAACGAAATTGCAGGAAGGGCATCGCGTGTCATGATATACAGAAGCAGAAGGAGACCGAAGCAGACGAAGCAAGCGCTTGAACATTTCAAGCTTTAGCGGGCGCCGGGGTGGCAGAAGCGAGTTCTGGGGTTTGCTCGGATTTAGCCTCGCCGACAACTTCCTTCTTCGTCCCGAATATGACGGATGGCTGGCGAGCGCCTAGAGTGTTGCTGACTGAGTGTGCCATCCAGGACCAGGCGAGTGCGCTGAGCTGGATCCAGGCGAGGACGAGGATGAGCCTCCAGTCTGCCGGCTCGTCGAGGTAGTGCCCGAGCCATTTCGGGCGTTTGGAAACAGGGATCGTCCAACATCTTACTTGGTGCGCGAGCGCCTCTTTGTCCGTAGGGCGGTAAGCCGCGTAGCTCGGCGCGAAGCAGGCAGTAAACATCGCCTTATCGCTCGCTGAGAACTCGTGGCTCTGTTCGGCCCCGAGCGCGTATGCTTGCTCAGAGTCGGTAGTGGAGAGGAGGAGGGTGAAGAACCTCGACGAGCGGTAGTGGACGACGAGGGTGCGGTGGGGGGGTGCCTTTGGGTGCGAGGCTTCGAAGGTTGGGAGAGGGGAAGGAGAGGAGGTGCAGATGAGCCGGACAGTCATCTCCTCCAGCTCGACCCGTTGGCGGAGGAATGCTTCGGTCCGCAGACGCGCATATAGGTCGGCTGGCGACTCGAATGCCAACCCTAGGACGCTGCGTAATGAAAACGACACGTCGTCTATTGATGGAGCTGATGATGCGGGTGAGGATGGACAAGAGTCTGGGCATGTGAGCCTATGTCGAGGTGTTGAGGTGAGGGAGTACGTTCGTTGTGCCATAATTGTATGGCAGTTGTGGAGGAAGAGGGACAAGTGAGAGCTAGACGAGAGAGCAAAAGGTCGTCTGAGGAAGAGACAGGGGGCGGCGGCGATGGGGCCCTGATTTCTCTCTTACACTGCGCCCCGCCTCTCTCCGGATTTGCCCCCCTTAGATCCGAACAGTTCGGCTCCGATCATAGACGCGCGCTCCAAATGCGGACGCGTTCGTTGGTTCTCTCGACTCAACAGCATACGTTAAGCAATCTGTATTTTAACCGCATCACCAGCACTATACCCAAACCTCTTTAAATTCTATTCTATAGCTTTTGTCATGGAGGCTGAACTAACAATGGCGTCTGTGAAGAGTGAGTCGCGTATATGCGCCAAAGAATCAGCTAACCTGGATGCAAGCCCTGGTCAAAGCTCTTACATGCCTATCGCGATACAGCGACGATATGGATATCCTTGCTTTTCCCAGCTCAGTGCGCTCTGTTCTACGGATTATCCTGTCCCTGAACGTCTGACGCGAACGCCAGTAGCTGACTCTATCCGCTACGAATTCGTCCAAATCCGCATACTGTCGGCTGGTACTACAACCAACGTTCTTCTCGTCCTATTCTGTTCGCAAGCCTCGGACTGGATCTTCTCTCCGCTCTTCGGGTACCCAGACGCAGGAAGGAAGGAGTGTGAAGGCTCGGCTGAAGACGAAGCTCTTACTCTCCCATCTGAGGCATCGGAATCATGACAAGGGCGCGAGGAGAGTCAAGCTCATCATCCGGGAACCAGCGCAGAACGGGTATGCAGAAGACGAGGATCAGTCTGATGATGAGGACGGGAGGTTGGAGAGCAGGATGCTCGTAAAGATCTTCTGTGATCATGGTGTGTCACCCTGCATATAACCATCGGAAGGGACGTCTGATGCGTATATGCACATGTTCAGGAGTGGTGAAACAGCATCGATTGAACCTCGAATATCCTGATGAGCTATTAGCACCGTTCATCGAAGAGGATCCGCAAAAGAAAACAGTTGTAGCAAAGAAGACCTCGCTGAAGAATCTGCTAGAGCGAATGCGAGTCGGAATCTCCAAGGCGGACGGACAGATCTCCTGTGACTTCAATCCGGCGGACATGGTCGTCAAGACTATTGCAGGTGAATTTATCCCAATGCCGTGTCAGGCTGTTACTTATGTCGTCGAAAGATAAAGGTGACATCTGCACGGAAGTGAAGGCTATCGGAGAAGACTTGGACCGATACGAAACCGGACCGGCATCTGTTTCCCTCTCTTTTCACATTCGCGAATTTGCTGTATGAAACATTCCTGTAGTCACTCAGTTCATTGGCTCATATGCCACAGGCTACGATCACCCTAGCTGAAAGTCTGGACAAGAATATGACTATGAATTTCACAGAAGCTCCAGCTCCGCTCGTCCTTGGAATTCTACCTACCGAACTGGACGTACCCGAAGACGAGACATGGGACTTTCAAGCTTTCATCGCTACTAGTAGTGCTGCGGAAGTCGTACGGCCCAATGGACCAAAGCGTACCAGGGCGGACAATGATGGACGGCCTCCAAAGCTGCCACGAGTAGCCAAGAACGAGGAAGAGAACGAGCCGGAGGCTCCGGTGCAACCTGAGGCACAGTGGGGAGAAGACCCACAGCAGCAGGGCCTATTCAACGATGATGATATGAACTTTGAGGTCCCTGTGGCTTCCCCTCCTCGTCGCGCAACTGGCTGTTCCCAATGTCCTTCTTTCCAAATGCCAGCTAGCCAAGTTGTCCCCTCAGGGACGTTTCGCGCAACAAGCCGAGCTTCAACCTTCCGCGTTCCTCCGCAACATCTGCCCAGTGCATCCGCATCCGCGGGCGGTCCTTCCACTACCAACCTGGCTGCAGGTCCTCAAGCATCACACCAAAAGGAGCCACTATTCTTGCCTCCATCTCAGCTTTCCCAAGCTGCCAAAACAGAAATATTCAATGCAACGGGAATGGATGACGACGATCTCCAGGCCTTCTTGGACATGGAAGACGACTATATGGACAACGATCCTGATGGGTATGTGGGAGTTGGCAATGAACCTGCAAGGAAGCCATCCGTCGCGGACCAGTCTGTGGCTCTTGGTCCAACTCTACCGCCTGACGGGGCGAAGGTGAGCATATTCGCAAAGAGACTTCTACAAAACCTTACGCGCTGCTAGCCATTTCACCCTGTGTTTAGAAACAGCATCCTCGACATGGAAGAAGACACAGTTGTTGAGGATGATCAGGATTTCGTGGCACCTCCTACTCAGCATACTACCTCAGCAGGCCGGAAGAAAGTGAGCCTGTTGTGTGATCATGACATGATGATGCGCTGACTCGTCCTTCAGTTCACGCCAATATTCAGAGACTGAGACGGATTTTTGTTGTATTCATTTGGGACTGCACTTGATGCTGAGAGAGAAAGACTACACTGGTCCCAATCTCCGTCAGTCGATTGGAGATACGTTGCTCATATGCAATTATGGCTATGGATGGACTGCTCCCTGTACAATATAAATGAAGAAAATCATGTACTTGATTGACCACGATACGCTGGGAGACCAATATATTGCGGATGATCACATAACACGTCCTACCAAGTGGTCGGCGCGCCTAGAAATGTCGAGAAAACTGGCTGACTAAGCACTTCACAGCCACTCCAACATAAGAGACCCTCAGGGAAGTTCCGATCGTCCTCCATCATAGTATTGAACGGCCATCATGTCGAAGCATCATCCCGGTACGCACCTCCAAATTCTCCTAAGCAATTGTTACTGACAAACATTCAGATTTGATCATGTGCAGACGTCAGACTGGCATCGGTAAGTTTCGCCCAGCTCCGTTCTTCCTCCAGTACTAATCACCGTAAGCAGCCATCGGACGTCTCTGCGAGAAGTGCGATGGGAAATGGTAAGTGATTTCCTCAGTCGTAAGCTTGCTGGAAACTGACTTCATTGCCCCAGTCCTGTCTGTGACTCTTATGTGCGTCCTGAGACTCTTGTCCGCATATGCGACGAATGCAACTTTGGCACGTTTGGTGGGAGGTGCATCATCTGCGGTTCTCCAGGTACGTCTTACCAATATCGCTCTCGTTAGCTCATTAGCTGAACGTCTTCTACCAGGTATATCTGATGCGTACTACTGCGCTGAGTGCACGCGCTTGGAGAAGGACAGAGATGGTTGCCCCAAGATCGTGAACCTGGGAGCCAGCAGAACGGACCTGTTCTATGAGCGTCGTCGTTTAGGTGAGTCATCATATCCCCTGATCTGTGGAGACATGTGTTGACCTTCTATGCAGGCTTCAAAAAGGGATGAGCTCCCTGTGCAGATTTGTCCACACTGTTGTACTTTGACACGTGCTAGTCCAGGACGTGAATGCATTTCGATGTTATCGAACATATGTGTACAACATGAACCAGTGAATGATATAAATACCGGGAAAGATATGAGATGAAAAGTATTCAAGGTCCGTTACTACTGTTCCCATAGACTTTGTATGGTAGCAAAGGTCTGCTATTGCGTGGATTGACGATGTCGGAGACAACCCTCAGAGCACCCATGTCCACCTGTTTAAAACATCAGCGTGTGCCGCACTGGGCTGGTACTGTAACGCACAGGAGCTTTGAATACGACGAAAATGTGGGTTGGATCATGCACGTCATTTTCCTCACAGTCTGCACACAGATCTTTTGAACAGTAAACGCATCTGAACCATTCGCCGCGAATGGGCTCGACGCAGATGTCGCAAAGCGTCGTTTGGTGAACTAGGTTGTTTAGGTATGCTACATGCAAGACATCTGAGTAAAATTACCATTGTTTAATAGGAATGAATCACTCACCTCTTGGATCTTGATTTGATTCGAAGCCAGCTGCTACTGGACTCCTGTAAAGGAGTGGCAGTATAGGGAATGGTGAATTGATCGCGCGATCCAACGGGCGCGGGATCTTGAAGAATGCATGCATCGGATCGTGGAGGTCGTAAGACCGCGCCTCGCACATAGAGCACTGGGCAAGATATCAACTATGGATACTGGACACGCAGGCGAGAAACCTACCAAGTTGTAAGATTCTGGCAACGACGGGCAGTGTGCGCATTGGTAACGGACACCCTCGATGAGCTGAAACATAATTAGAGAATACTCAGATTATGAAAGCAAAAGACTACTCACCTCGTCGCAACCCTTGCAAATGATATGCTGGGAGACTTCGTCGGAACGAATGGCACCGATAACAGTAGGCAATGAATCGGAACTCGACGAGTTGGCTCGTTGTCTTGGGAAGGCCAGGTCTAGTGCTAGGCCATCCCTTTGCGACCAGAGATTTCGAGCTCTCCGGCTCGCCGCCTCGACTTGGGTCGGGTCAAGCGGGTAGGGAATCTTGATCATTATATGCGAGTCGTCATGTCCCCCGTCTGGAGCTGTGAGGTTACCTGGCAGGCCAGCAGCTTCGCAATTTGCGCATATATCGACGTCGCTGCAGATGGCGCAATGGAACCGAGCGCCAACGATATCTTGCAAACAACTAAAGGCACGATGAGTACTACTACACGAGATGATGAAGGGAAAGACATACTGTGTGCATTTCACACCCGGGTGATCCAATGCTGCCATAACGTGAGCCTCGATTCCGAGATGCCACCTGGGAGACTCACTCTCAGGTTCGGTCCTGTCTGATAATACAAGGGCGTTATTCAGCGACGGTGTAAGTGGCTCGCTCCTTGGCACCTCAACAAACAGGAATACGTGCGCTGGATGAATGTGGTGCACTTGGCTATAACATCCCCTGCAGAGGCTGAAGTTGTCACACGACAGGCATTTGTATCTGTCTCCTGGAAGCGAGTTCTTGCATGTTGCGCACTCGACATGCTCGTCGTATTCTGTCCATCAGCCAAGATCATTCCATGAGCAATGTCACACCAGATGGTAGAAGACATACCCAGATCCTTCCACCCATTCAACCCCCACATCTTCTCCCTAAAGGCATGCCTGAAAGCATGCTTCTTCCTATTCCTGACCGGTGACTGCCCCGGGAGTTGTAGCGCACTCTGGCTTCCATGATAGTGCGCTGTCGGGCTGCCAGAGAGGGGGGACGGACCACCCGAGCTGGAGCTCGAACTTGAACTTGACGAGAGCGGAGAGTGACCATCCGAGTCTGCAGATACGGCCGCATGGTTCAAGCCCGCACTGTGTACGCACCCTGCGCACAGCTCGTAGCCTCGTTCGAGAAGGGGCATGCGCAACCCAGGAGTGCCTCTTCCGTTCGGACTGACACCGCTCCCAGGGCGCGAGTTCCTCTTCAGAGGTACCGGTGGCGGCCGAGGTGGGTAGGAGAAGGTCTGCATCTGGAAACTCGACCCTGATTGTCTTCCCGACTGCCTGCCCTGTTGTACCGTCTCCTCCGAGTATGCTGAAAATGCGTCTGCAATGGCCATCTGTTTGCGCGAAAGATGGTGCCAGGCTGGTGGCTCACGGGCTTCTTTCTCTCCACAGGTTGTACACACGTAGCGGAAGTCTTCTAGTAGTACGCCGCATGAAGAGCAGTCCGTGAGCAGGCGGGGCGCCTCAGCAGGAACGGACTCGACTTCCTCCTCGGGGACAAAAGCGAGGACTTCAGCGGGTATGCCAGGATAGCGACTCTGCAACTGCGGAAGAGCAGACGCATGGTCCGACACGAGTGGGAGCTCTTCGGCGCCTGGAGAACTCCGCTGCCTGTGTTGTTGCTCCATCACCACTGCGAGCTGTTGATGGTCCCGGTTCTGGTTCTCGATCCATGCCAGGCCGTGGGGACTCGTTTGCTGATTGTTTGAGATGTAAAGGCTCTCCAGATCCACACTCCCGGTCTGATCCATCCCGCTGTCCCTGACTCTCCTCGCGCGGTCTCGTTCTCGACCTGACGAACCCCCGCTCTGGGACGCTGGATATTCGTAGTAGTAATGATGCGCGCCGCGCTGCAATTCGAGCTGAGCGTCATCAAACGGATCCTCGTCTTCATTGGCAATATCGTCTTCGGTGCGAACAGGACCGTCCGCGACCACCAATCGCCGTAATCGGTCCGTTACCATAGCACTCTCGCTCTGGTCGTCAAATGGACTGGTCTGTTGAAATCGCCGCGATCCGGGGGAGGCAGGTGGGGAAGGCGGAACAGTCGCCAACGTTGGAAGGTTATAGTTCGGTAGGTTGACGCCTGCAGGTGAGGAAGAAGGGGGATACCCCGGTCTCGGAACATCGACAAAGCTGCTCCCCGTCTGACTGCCATAGTTGTGCGAACTGACAGTGATCGCATCGTCTTCCGGCTCTGCCTGCCCTCTCGGCACCTCCCGTTCTCGCCGCTCGCCCGTCCTCTCCACCTGCACGTACTCGTCCATGCTCGCCAGACTCGCAGTGTCCGACAGGCTAGGCCCGTCGTTCTCCATGTTCACCTTCACCCTCAGCGTCACCTTCTTCCCTGAAGAGCTGCGTCCGCTCGCGCTCGACGCACCGCTGTAAGCGACACTCTCCGTATCCCCATCAGAAAAATAGTTGATCGCTTCGGTGAGATCGTGGTTTGAGGATATGTCCGTCACCTCGCCATCGTCGTCCATGTACGTGATGAGAAACGGACTTCCATAGAGTGAGAAACATTGCTCGACCTGAAGGAACACATCGTCAGAGATCATACTACCACTCTTCAGCATAACAAGGCACCTTAGCTCGCAAAAGGTCATAGTGGCAGTCCACGGCCGATCCAAACGTCACTCGCCGCAAAGAACGATTATAAGAGCACTTGACGACCAGCGGTCTATCAGGTCGGTCCCAAGCAGAGGACGACGACAGCGCCGTCATTTTGTTCTATGAGGTCCTTCTCGTACTGAAGGTTGTCGACAGTTGACCAGGCGGTGCGCAGTGACACCTTTTGTCCGCTTAAGCTGGCGCTGGGAGCCGTCGGGCCGCGGTGTAGTGGAAGCAGTACTTGAGTGGGTTGTCAGTGAGCGCGGGAAGTGTCGCCGATGCCGGACTGCGGTCTGATCTTCAGACGGTGAAGCACCGGTTGATCAGTAATCAGTAAATGGACAATGAAGAGCAAGTGTCAACAGTAGCTGCGAGCCGCAGTCCACTATTAGGTTTTGGTTATGTGATTCGTCGTTGCGTTCCCTTTGTGACGGCAGCGTCGGATGGCGGCGGATTGCGCAGCCGATAGAAACACCGCCTCAGAGAGGCAAAATGCTCACATAAGGTGTGAGTCGCTCTTCTCAACCTTCCAAAGTACAACACTTTATATTGTCACATTAATACAAATCACAAGAAACCAGTACAGAGCAGTGTTTATTTTGCACAGATCTCACACCAAGGCTTCATCTAAGGCCTCCATAGCCCACTTGACAAACCACTCCTCCCACCCCTCCCATTCATCCTCCACCTCCTGCTTTTCCACCGCCTCCCCGCCTTCCTGCACGCCACCCATATGGCATCTCTTCTCCTTATGATTCCCGGCCAAGGGGTTCAATACCCTCTCTACAGCCTGGATGACCCCATTCCTCACCGGTACATCCCTGATCGCTACAGGCACGCCCTGCGCCCACATCCTGTACACGGCGACTTCCCTCCCTTGCCCAGGAGGGGGAAGCGGGAAGAGCGGGTCTTTGCTGATCCTTACCGGTAGTGTAAAGTTCTTCCCCAAAAGAGTGGGGAGGAACAGCAGGTAGTCGTATGTTGGCCACATGTTCGTTTCTTCAGAGCTCTCAGTAGGGATGGCAACGGTCCAGTCCTGGACGGTCCCGGATTTTTAGCGATAGTCGGTCCCGGTCCAGTCCTGTGATGGTCCGGTCCTGGACGGTCCCAGGACCGTGAACCGCCAGTCCCACTCCAGTCCACTAAATGCTGACATAATTCTATTCAATAGTCAATGTTGGGTCATGGCATTGAACGGGAGGAAGCACACGCGAGATTCATCATGCACCTGAAACGACATGCCAGTCAGTCAGATGATATGCCGACCTCTTCCAACACCATGACATGACCGGTCACCATCCCTACAACGCCAAAACTGTCAAACTCTGCACCCAATTGCATGGCGAAATGGTGGCTGCGTGGGACCGGACTGGACCGGTCCTTCGCAGTTCAGGACTGAACCGGATTTCCAAAAGTGTTGGTCCTGGTCCAGTCCTCGGACGGTCCAGTCCTGGACTGGATCGGCAGGACCGCAGTCCTCAAAGTCCGGTCTAGGACCGATGCCATCCCTAGCTCTCAGCAGAGAGGGGACAATCGGCGGGTGCACATAATCCGCAAACAAGACCGTCCCGTTGATCACGTGGTATTTGAGCAGCTTGTCGAGGGCAAACTCGCCCCAGGGGGAATGGAACCACTTGCTCAGTCGAGGAGGGAGGAGTGACCAGGCCTTGTTCGTAGGGGCGAATACGGTGACCGCGGGGCTGCCCTCCCACGACAGCCCAGGGAGCGGGATAGGCGCCAGCGATTCAGCCGTGATGTTGAGCCACATCTCTTCCGCCGCGTCGATTCCGTCCTGCACGTCTTCATGTGCAGCAGGAACGGCAAATGGTCCCGGGCGGTGGAAGACCGGTTTGTGGTCGACCACTTTGTTCAGCCCCGTTTTTTCCAGAGCGCTCGCGGTGATGCCCAGCACCCAAGGTGCCTGTTGCCTCGTGAACGGGAATAGCCAGGGAACGGCGTACAGCTCGTCCATCGCACTCAATCCTGGCTGGAGTGCGCTGCTCACACCGTGGACAATACCATTCGATGCGTGCAGGTCGGCGGCGACGATGTGCCCTGCGAAGTTGAGCTGGATCGTGGGAAGTGGACGGAGCGCGGGACTGAGATTGATGCGCTGGGCAGCACCGAGTAGAGCCCCCGGAACGGTAAGCCCAGTTGCGACGGTGCTGAACTCTGCAAGCTCGAAAATGGGATGTGCGCTTTTGGGGATGATGTGGTACTGTAGCAACGCGTGGAGGATGCGGACAGCGGCAAGATGCTCCCACCCACGTCCATTCGGGTTATGCGAGAAGTACCGGTGGAGGGTCTCCAGCGCGAGAGGGTTACCAAACTCGAGCAGAAACTCATGTGGGCTTGGGGCGGGGAAGGCAGCGTTTGTAGGGGCGAATAGGGTGAAGTTCCCGCTCTCACGGGAGAGGTAGGCTACGGAGAGGGGATCATGGGTTACTAGAAAGAAGAACTTGCTGAACCTGCTTCTGCTCAGCTAGCAGGTATCAAATCGAGAGAGGTGTGCATACTTGTCATCTTTGCTAAGGATCTCATATGCAGTCTTCTTCCTTGGCTCCTCGTCTTCCTTTTCCAGCTGCTCCTCGCATACGATCTCGATCTCGTCTGAAGACCAGAGATGCTCCACCCATTTGAGCTGTTCTTCTAGTCCTTCCCAGAGGTTGGCGATCCCCTGCGAGAGAAGACTTTCACACCCGTCAACAGGGAGGATACTGAGCTGAGGTTCACGCGGCTCCGGGGTTACCAGTGCAAGAGCCGAGCTCGCCAGAGTAACAGCAACGACAGAGGATCCTCTTCAAGACGTAAATGAACGTCCAAGAGGAAGTCACTCAGATTGTTGATTTAAGCGTTAGGTTAATATATGCCAGCCTCCGTGTGCGCAGTTGTAGACATGACAAGATGTGGGACAACCCGATGAACTCGGCACGGCAAAAGGAGCGTTCGTCATCGATTAGGGCACGTGCACCTAGTTGGATTAAGTAAGCGTCTTGGCTTGCCGAGGGAGGGGCTGTGTGCGCAACCACTGCCCTCCTGCTCCAAGTAGAAGTAGCGCTCAAACAGCATTCCGTGTCACATTGCACTCCTCGACCCTCGTTATTCTACACCACCAAAAGAAAGGACTACAAAACAGCAAGATGCTATATACCGCTTCTATCATTGCTCTCGTCCTCCTCTTCGTCCTCCGTAAGCACATCTTCTCCCACATCATCTCGTTCTCGTCCTAACTTCCCGTAGTCGCATACTACTACCGCGCCCGGCTCTCTTCCATGCTCGCGCCTCTCGTCCCCTCGCGCGTAAAAGACTACCTCTCCTCACACTTCCCCCGCCTCTCCTTCTACCGTCCTCTCCAGACGTGGGATTCGCAGCGCGAGCAAGGACTCTCCTCAAGCCTGTTCGACATCGAAAGTAACCTTGAGGCTGGCGATTCTCGTTCGGGGCTGGACCCGCAAGGAGCGGAGGAAGTAAGGAGGATCATGGCTCGCGAGGGGGTAAGCTTCGACCAGGCGAGGCTGATAAGGCATAAGCTGCTCCTGAGCAGGCATGGGATCGACCCTTCTGGTGAGCTCGTTTCGTCAGACAATGTGAGACGTGCTGACGAGAAACAGGTATGCCGACGGACCCAAAGGCGATCACGCACCTTTGATCTTGTTCTTCTTTCTTTCTGCCATCAATGACCTTGTTGTACAACCCTTATACCATAACGGATCGGATCTATCGGATTTCATGTCTTCCGCAGACACTCACGTGGCATTCTATGTCCCAGCTGTCTGTCTGATGTACAATACCTCAAGAGGTCGTCACATCTACATTCCTGCCCCTACCGGGCTAGTAACCACATCAAAGGTGCCACAAGTACAAGCATGCGATCAACGAAGAAATAATCACTGGATTGTCTATATTCGATGCCCGCATCTTATTGTACTTCCTCGCCGTCCTCCACAAAGATGTCCAAATAGTGCTCAAGGATAGTCTCCACTGCCTAGATACAACAACCGTCAGTCTACTGGGCTCGATGGAACAGGTAGGCGTGCGACTCACCCGGCTCTGCCATTGATGATCTGTAATTGCAGCACCGCTCTCGACGCCGGGCATGCCACCCAACGGCGGTCCTAGCAGCGTCGGGCCAAAGACAATGCTCAGATTGCTAATCCGCATTTGGTTGACGTCCGAGTGCTGCTGCACCTTATGTAAGTGCCCCATAAGAAACTTGAGCGTGGCGTAGTTCGCGTCTGGTAGATCGTTTACTCGCTCGTGCAACCGGATATGTCGTAATCGGTCATTGTCGATCTTGGCGGCTTCGATGAATCCCGGGTAGAGAGAGTGCGTGAATAGCGGCTCTGGGAGCTCGCGGAGCCAGAGCTTTAGAGCGCCGGAGACGATATTCACGTCCGTCGAAGCCTCTTCGTCTAGTAATGAGGTCTCGACGTCTAATACCCGGGATAAGAAAGTGAAACAGCGCATACTTGTGCTGACACTTACCCCTGTCGAAAGACGCCTTTAACCTGTTTACTCGAGATGTCGTGCCCGAGAGACGGTAGATTCCAACCGACTGCAGCCCATGCATCTCGATAGCCCCCGCACATCTCTCTAAGATCCGTGGCACCTCGACGTTGTCTCGTGTCATCTGCTCTCCCAGATCGACACCGAACGTCGTCGCAGAAATCTTCTCGGGTGACATAGTCAGTTTGTCGCTTGACGGCTTTGTGGCATGTGTGGGAGTGAATGATATCTGAGAGAGGCATCGGTCAGGAGACGGCAGTGCAAGTTTGGAAGGGCGCACATATTGCTCTTCCGGTGGCCCCTCTCTCCTTGGTCCCCGAGGTGTACTGTTTGCAATGGCGTAGTTCTGCATGTACACCTTAAAATCCCCTCTACTGTCGATGTTCTCCATGATATCTTTGATACCTGCCCCATCAATGGCTGTGGGTAACGTCAGTCTGAAAGCCAACCACGCGGATCAATCTGATACTTACTCGAATCAGGGTGGGGCACAGGTGCTAATACCTGCCCGTCGGTGAGGAGAGTGTTTTCGTACAGGTGTGCATAACGGGAAAGGTGATATTGTGTCCCGAGATCAACCTCATCAGAACATTCTTTGAGTGACTAAGCACTTGATCAGGCTATGCTGTATACGACCGAGGAGTCGCAGCTCACCCGTAATATCCGAGGTAACTGGAAGTTGAAATATTCCTGTCGGATGTGCTGCGCCTCAAGGAGCGCTTTGCGGTACGTGTCCGAGGACGTTGTTAACCTATTTCGTACATCCTCCTCTTGGCGCATTAGCTATAAGTCAATGAGCATTGACTCGTCTCCTGCCACTGGGTTGACGCACCGATGCTGGGTTCTTGCCTTTCAACAGCATGCCACCCTTGTTAATGGCCTTCCCCAATACCCGCTTCCCGGATTGCCCTCCTCTATCACCGGTACGAGGTGTTATCCCCGCCTCTTTCATAGTCTCTCCCTCCTTCATCACCAACAGCCGCTCCAGCTCCTCCGCATTCGAGTCAAATCGTGCTTTGGCCTATACGCCTTCTGTCAATGTGCGTCAACTCCGAGAAGCGTACCCACACACCTTGTCTGTGGCAACCTCCGCATCCTGCAATGTCCTCTCATATCGATTGCTCAGCTCCTTACTCTGTTTTCGGTTCTTCTCGACCTCCTTCGCTAGATTGAGAAGTTCATCACTCATTTCATTCAATCGCATGGCAAACCGTATCCGATTCTCGGCAAGAATCTCATGTATGCGCATGGCAGAATGCCATGAGTTGACGAAAGTGCTGACAACCACTCCTGTCAGATGGAAAGCATACTCCGGTAGAAATACTGACCCAGCTTTCCCCTCGCTCAGCGAATATTGCTCTCCAGTGAGTCGTGAGAGTTTCTGGAGATTGCGGCCATAGTCCTCCTCAAGGGCGGCGCGTTTCTTGAAGAAGGTTGCAACCTCCTGCATGGGCAATCAGCAGGAGTTCCAAATCGACAACTGTTCATAAGTACCCTGCAAGACACAGTGCCCTGCTTTATTCGATCGAGTAGTAATGGAACTCCGCACTGAGGCGAGATGTTAGTAATAAGCACATAACATGAACGGATAGCATTTACGTCCAGCTCACACAGCGCCCGTAGCACACCCTCGTCAAATCCGGTGGGCACAATCTCTGGCTCCTCGTCCTGCGGCGGCCAACTAGACGTGATCGTGCTGCTCCCATTGGCTATCCCTTGGCTCGGGTATCGCTCGTGTCCAAGCCGCGAACTTCTTGAGGTTTGCACATAGCTCGTCGAGTCCGCGCTTGGCTGCGATTGGTGGAAGGAGGTTGTATGCGTTGGTGACGGAGCAGGTGACGCACGGGACTGTGCAGATACTCGGTCTAGAACCGGTATAGCAGGCAAGTTCGGTGAAACAACTTCCTGAGAGTGTGTCCTAACGGGAGTGGTTTCCGTCGGGGTGTGTGTCAACGAAGCTGGAAGTCCCATCTCTGTGTGCGACGTATCATTCGCATAGTCCGAGGATTTGGTGCTGACCGAGTTAGCGTCTACGCTCCGCGTCGAATTATGTGAGGAAGCGCTCGAGTTCTCGCGTGGGCCCATCGGTGGTCGAGAAACAGAGTTCGAGCGACCCAGTGCAGAGCGAGTGTTGCTCAAGCTCGACGAGCGAGTCGGCATGTCCCGATCGGGGTTGATATTGACAGCGGAAATGGCCGGCGAGGCTCCCGCCGACACGTACTCGCTGCTGCTCATCGTTCCGAGCGATGAATAGAGGGAGGGAAAAGAGGTGAGGCGAGCGAGTTATGATGAACGCCTCGCTGCCTTGGGCGTTTGTGTCGCAATGTGAGCCGCCACCCCTAACTGGGGCTTCTCGTGGCAATGTGCACTAGGAAAGGGGCCGTGCTGCACCAGCAGGACCCTAGCTGTAGTGCGGAAGTGAGGGGAACATTTAACTATAGCTAATCTAGTATAGTTATGTATTATAGCCAAGTAGATGCTCAAAAATGATTTTGAAAAGTCTTTTATATGGCATGGAATAGCTAAGGAGACAGGGCATAGCAATGAATGAGAGAATATCTACAACTTATGAACTCTCACCCCCCCAGGAGGTTATGTTCAGAGAGCTCCTCCCCACTTCAAGAACTCAGGTACTGCCTTCAGAATGCCAATGAGAAGTTTCGGGACAGACACATCAGCTACCTTTGCCATCATAATGACAAAACCTAGATGTTCTGTTAGCATACAGATGATTGAACAGTATCCAAGAAGAACTTACCAACCATGACCACCACCAGAACTCTATAGCACCACAGAAAGTTTGCTCCATGGTGAATAACTTCCAGGATGATGCATATCAAAAGTATGATTACCATGATGAACAATCCAGTGAGAGACAAGCACATGAGAGTGACATTGAATCCTAGCTGGTACATGCACAAAAGTATTCCACCAATCCAAGGGGAAATCCTCCAGCACCAAATCCTGATCAAACCAACAACCACCCAACCACCCATGCTGAAAGTGCTGACAGTTCCATAAACAGTATTGACCAAGTGGATAGCTGAATGTCGACCAATCTGCATCTGAGCTTTGTCAATTACATCAACATCTGTGGATTGCAGAGACCAATAAGACAACATGGCGGGACTGAAAGGTGCTTTGTTCATCATTATATTCTGCAACAATCAGTTAATACTACTGTTTACTGGGTCTACAAGGCACACACCAATTCACTCCCCTCCCTACCTGCAGTAGTGAAAGAAATGAGCTCGCAAAGCCATCCAACCTCTACTGAAGACCATCTCTTGAATCCCTGCCATGTACCCACTCTATCATCTGCACCATCTTCCAGTTCTGCCTTGACACTAGGACCACCTTCCATTGCCATGAGTTCATTGGCTGCAAGCATCAAGAGAGCTGCAACATTCAAGGTGAAAGAGTCGAGAAGAGTGCTTGCCATTGTCAAAGGGTGATAGAACATTGGAGTAAACAATGTTGTAGGGAGCAGAGTGTCAGGGCACCAGCTCATTGCTTGGTCAAGAGACATGACTAAGCCTTTATGACATGGAAGTAGCTGGTATACCTTGGCATGTGCTGGAACCTGCTGGAAGGATTGGATGGTCAGGTGACCTGCTGTGCATGGCTGTGCATGACCTCATATGACCTGATCACCTGACTAGGCTGAGTAAGCAAGATGTTCTAGCAGGTTCCACCACAGAGGTATAAATATAAGGCCTACTCTGCCTTGGGACTGTCTCTTCAGACTTGGTCTCTTAGGATCATCCACAGGTACCTATACTGTAAATAGGTCTCAGTCATCAGGTCTACTCCACTTCCTTGTTGCCTGCTTAGACTCTTGGCACTCTTAGGTGAGCAGACTTAGTCAGCCTGTGTTGCCCTAACACATACACAATTGCCTCTCATTGCAGAATGGGATACCAGTTGTCCATCTCTAAGGTTGCTGGAATGCATGTTGTGTGGATAGCATGGGATGAGAAGTTCTGAGTTGGGGATCTCTTTAAATTGGACCATTTTCATTTCTTGTTTGAAAAATTCTCCTGAGCAAGAACAGCATACTTTGGTGCATATAGCTTCATTTGACATTGAAAGTATAAAGTCTTTTTTGCATTCATATATTGTTTCGGTATCAGTTGTGGTCAAGAAATGTTTGAGGATGGGTTCTGGGTTTGAGGGCAGGTCAATGATATCCATGGAGGAATTCTCAAAGAAGCACTTCTTTCAGATTGTGCAC